GGAGGCTTTGCTCTTGTGCTCCTGCCCACACAGCAGAACTAATACAGTATTCTTGTTCCTCCCTGGATTCTTTGATCTCACATTTCACCCCAATCAAATAGTCCAGCCCTCCAGATATGAGAGAGTGTTTCCATTGTGTTGTACTTTCCAATTGATTTTCTCACTTCTTTCAATTAGTCACTCAATCTCTCCTGCTCTAAAAAGGTTACACCTTTGGAGATGCCTATCTGTCTCCAATTCCTTTGCACCACTAATCTCTGGAATATATTCCCAGACACTTTTCTGAAGCCTTGTCTCTGTCCTCAATAGTGTAGGAATGAACTGCTGAGTCAGATGATTGGTTTCTGCTTGCATCTCTCTCACTGTTAGCACAAGGAGACCCAGAAGATGGAATAAGCTCCTTACACAGCAGTTGCTGCTGGCAGTTTAGGAATTAAGTTCATACCTACTTTGCATCCACTCTGGAGTTTGACTTGGTGTCATCACTTCTTGGAAAAATCAGTGGCTAGGTTTGTTTACTAGCCTCTAATCAACCTGTAAGTCTCAGGCATTATGGTAACCTGACTCTGTTACATGGGAGAGTGCACTGAAGAATTTACTCTGCTCAGCCCAGATTTCCATGAATACTAGTGTGCCCACAGGACCCAAGACCCCTATAAAGACAGATTTTGCCCACTTACACTCCCTCCCTCTTCTCTCTTTCAGGCTCTTTGTTCTCTTGCTGTTATTTCTGCTCTCCCCCCTCTCATCTCTTTGTGCTCCTGTCTCCCCATTCTCTCCTGTCACCTGTCTATGTGTCTGTTTCTCTTTATCTCTTTTTTTTGTTTGATTCCATCTCTTTCCTCTTACTAATAAAACTTCTCACTCAAGTTCTGGCTGCCTGGCATGTTTGTACCCCACCTTAGTCACCCTCTCCTTCCATGGAATCTGCAGTGGTCCTCCATGAAGGACTACCATTAAGTTTATCTTAATATTGTATCAAGAGGACATTGTCATGAGATATTCACCCTACTGGTACCCAAAGACAATGGAGTAGACATCACTGAATTTATATAGTGCTGGTTCAGCTGTAATGTGGGGCAACATATTTTTCCATTATATCTGTCTTTGTTAAAAGTCAATTGTTAGTAGAGGGAGGATGGGGGATTCAACTCTTTGCCTGACTGATATCCAAAGTGCTGACCTGAATTTTAAATTTTCCTACTTGTGTTGATGCCATGGCTGGTCTGGAACTCCTGGGTATATAGTAGCCAACTTAACTGTCTCATTCCCTGTTGTAGCTGGGATTGCTGGATCATGATTAGAGGTACTCCACTACCCAGTTGTAAGGTGAACTTTTAGAACAGGATGACACTACTCATATGCATATCATGGTTAGGGTTTCATTTTTTCTTCAACCTTTTAAAGGATTTTCCTCTATGTGAATGTATATGTTTCTTACATATGCCTTTCTTGTTTAAAAATGCCCTTGTAGCTTTACTTTTTCAGTCAGAAAATACTCACCAATTTGAAATATTTTTATTTTTTCAAATATGTAGGTTACTGTTTGCTAAATTCTAGTGACTAACTATTGGTATCAAAAATGATACAGTTATGATTTTTTTTGCAATGTTTGTGTCTCTCGGTGGATGTTTTCCTTCCATATGCAAGATTTCTTATAATGATCACACATCTTGCACTCTCTATTTGCAAAAGAGGACCTTCCAGGACTGATAATCCTGCCTCTACCTCCTAAGTGTTGGGGGGTGGGAGGGTAAGTGTGTTTCACTTAGCCTCTTACCCTCATTATGTTTTTTAATTTGTATTTGAAAGAGTCTTTCTATTTTGCATAGCCCAGATTCAAAATCTGGCTGTCTCACCATATTACCAATCTGAGTCCTGGATTCATAGGCAGTTTGAGCTTGTGAAAAATATGCTGGCTGACCAAGGTTATGTACAAGGAAGAAAACTGGGTAAATAACTCCAAGGTGAACCTCAGACTGTTTTATGTAAAAATTTAATCATCAAAAGAGCTGGAAATAGCTCTAGGCTGGAAAATTTTCCCCAGGGTCTATAGCTGTGCAGCCTGTTCCCATTCTTAGTATCTGGAAATCTGATAACCCAGTATGGATTGTCCCTTATGTGCAGAGTTCTTACCTGTTCCACATCTTGGAGTTAACCCCAGTGGTGTCAGGCCTAATGATATCTGGCAGATGGATGTTAATCATGTTCCTTCCTTTGGCCAACTACAATTTGTACATGTATCTGTGGATATCCATTCTCATCTCATATTTGCCTCTACTCATACTGGAGAAAGGCTTAAGGATGTTAAGAGCCATTGTTTGCAAACCATTGCTTATATGGAAATGCCCAGACAATTAAAAAATGATAATGGACCAGCTTATACTAGTCACGGTTTTAACCCTTTTTTTGAAAAAAAAAAAAAAAAAAAAAAAAAAAAAGAATTTCATCACACATAAGACAGGCATCCCTTATACAGCTCAGGGTCAGGCCATGGTAGAGTGTGTGCATCGCACAATTAAAGCCTGTCTTCATAAAACAAAAAAAAGGGGGATTTAAAGGGTCTCCTCATAATCACATTTCGCTGGTCCTTTATATTTTAAATTTTTTAACTATTCATGGTGCTGCTCGATCTGCAGCCGAGTGGCATTGGCACCCTCGGACATCTGACTATGGCTCAGTGATCTGGAATAATGTCACTAATGGAAAATGGAGTGGCCCCAACTCAGTTCTAGTATGGGCCCAAGGGTCAGTTTGTGTCTTTCCACAAGACACAGATAACTCTGTTTGGGTACCTAAGTGGCTGATTCACCATATGTGGAGGGAATGTGATTGTAACAGCCAGAAAGAAGGTCCGATGGGTCTTCAGGAATCTACCCATCCTGATACCTGTGGGTCTGAGTAGCTATATGTGGCCTTTTATCCTAACCACTAATTATAGTTTGAATCAAGAGGCTATAAATTTACACTTTTATACAATGGACAAGAATTTACCCTTCATCTCAGGTACTGTATTCTGGTTCCATTCTTATTGTTGTAAACAATGCTAAAAATTTTGGAGGAAGTTTCAATTGTTCCTAGCAGGTCTGCGGACTGTAACAGCTGTCATGGGCCACGAACCCAGGTGTGGAGCAGAGAGGAAAGTAGATTCTGGGATCATGCCTGCCAGTGCTGCCTTCACCCCTGAAGCAACAGTTTCTACCATAGCCCTCTCGCAATCGGTAAATACTGCAAGCACAGTGGATCAACTATCGGGTGATTTGGTTTAAGCCTTAGCTACCCAAAGCACACATTATTATCTAGTACAAATTGGCATTTTTAAACTAAATTTACAAACTAATCTCCTATAGGAACACTTGAATTTTTGTGAGAAGCTCATATGGCTTCTTGTTCTGTCTTTCACACATATCTGTGTTAATTCATCATTTTTCTCCAGAAATCCTGGAGCGATCAGTTTTTAAGTTATACACATGCTTTAGCCATGCAGGTCATTAACATCTATGAAACCTGAGTGCCACTTGCCAATGCAGAAAGCTTTTTACAAGGACTTAAACTTGTGGGCAGATCATTTGGGTTTGTAGGCCTTGCACTTGGTGCTATTTTGCCACAGCACTAAAGAGGCCCGGGCCAACTTTCTAACAAGATAGATACTGTCTTTGACTCAAGAGAAAATGCCTCTGCCCACATGAGGCTGAACAAACTATTCACCAGTGAAGGGTAAGGCAGAGGGGGCAAATATCTAACCTAAGATAGGAAGGTTACGGGCCTGGGTGACTTCTCCAATGATGGGTAAGGAATTATGCTGATGTTTTCTGCCACCTAAGGCAGGTGTTAGTTTATATTACAAGAAAGGGGGACCTGTAGGGCCCTGCATGGACCCCTGAGGTGCCTTGAGCTAGCCTGAAGCTGTTGGCGGGAACTCCTTGCCCCAAGGCTTTTGTTGGTAGTCTTCCCATTTTGAGGACACACACCTGGTGACAACACACAACTGGTAGGTAGGAGCTAAGCCTAACCTTCCTATAATTTTTCTATTGTGCTGTGAGTCAGTATTTAAGCCCATTCTTTCCCCACTATTATTATTGTTGTCATTGTTGTTCGTCTCCACTGTTATTGTTTCACGGGTTCTTTCCCTTTTTTTTAGTTTTATTTTTTCCTCCTTCACGTTTTCTCCCTGCATGCCCTGCCAACGCCTGTGTCCCCCCTCACACACATGACCTGGCCCAAGTCAAGGAACAGAAAATAACAACAAACAACTGAAAATAAACATGCATATCATACATGTAACATAGGTGGAGCAAGTGCAAATATGTAACCCACATATATAACCCAACCGCCAATGTATCAACCATGTATTTATTTCCCCTCCAACCCCAACCACACCCTGGTAAAGCAAATATAAACATGTTATCCATTTAAATTCATGTGTTTACTGCATGTCCTCATGTTAATTACATGAACCTGTATGTAAACTCTGAGGGCTCCTATGTTTGCTGCAGCGGCTCAGATGTTGCCCACATCACTTCGCATGTTACTTACATGCTAAGTATGTGACACCAATGCAAACTACCCATTTACACATGCTAGCTAAATGGGATCTCACAGTAAGTTCATGAAGCCATAATGTAAGTACATGATCATGTATGGTAAAGACATGAATACCATGTTGTGCACATGGGCTCACATGTTAACTACAAGGGATCACATGTCAAATACACAGGCTCACATGTTAACTACACGGGATCACATGCCATGTACACAGGTTCCAATGCACACTGCACTGGCTCACATGGAAACACCATGACTCCATACGTGAACTGCATGTAATGGAGGCGGCACCGGCCGTGATGTCATGTGTACATGCGACATACATAAGTGTTGCGGAGCTGTGCATTAGGATCACAGAAGCCACAGGCACGACATGCCTGTAAAACAAATGACAAGCATGTAAATCACAGGGACTTCATTTATTCAGCTACATACATGTGGGCACACACTCCTGTTCACCAGAAGCGGCCCACGCAGCGCAGGAAGCTCACGGCGTCACAGAATCCATCATGGTGCAGCGACTCCAGGCTTCCACGGGATGGCGGGAAAAGTGCTCGGGCCAGGCGGGCAACATTGGCGGTGGAGATCTAGGCGGGGCCGGAAATGAGTTTGGGTGGAGCCAGAAGTGTGTGTGGGCTGGGCTGGAAGTGAGGTTGGTGTGAGCATTCTGTGACAGGCGTGGCCACGGAAGCCCCACATGGCTCACCTCCACGTCCTGTCCAGTCACGTGCATGCACGAGCCAAGACCTTGGCCAGGGTCACGGGGCGAGATGCCATGGCGTCCACAGAATGGGGATATGGTGAGGGTGCGACCACCAGGGGGCAGGAGGAGGCTGCGCGATCTGCCCAGGCCTGGGGAGATGGGGGGCCGGGGGACATGTGAGGAATCGCGACAATATACACGCGTGTTCGGGGTCACACACGCGTGACCACACCCACCCACCCCGCCCCTTACTGCCCCGCCCACCTGACCCTGGAACTCTACCAGATTCAGCCCTGAGTATATGGGGACGAAGCAGATGGAGAGAAGGACCTGCACATGAGGGGAAACAGGACACGCATGAGGGGAAACGTGAGACACACATGAGCAAAACGATACACGTATGTGCAAACATATGACTCGCATGTGCAAACACAGATGAAACACATGTAGGAAAAACGGAACATGACATATTCTTACACTTGCGGCCACGCCCCCTCACCTGTACGAGGTCCTCACGGGTCGGGAACTGGAACACAAGGCGGTTCTGGAATGTATTCACTGCAGTCAAGGACACATAGAGCCGGCCATGCACCAGGACGTGAGCATGGGCTGGGAGGATCCGGTCCAGGCTGGACCTGATGGTGCGGGGGAGGGGGGACACATGTGACCTGTGACCCCTGACATGTGATCCACATGCGTGACCCGTGACATGTAACATGTACCATGTGACGTGTGCCCCACCCCACCCCCTTTCCGCACCTCAGCCGCTCCATGAGGTGGAAGCTGGGTTTGGCCGTGCCCAGTGGTTGCTGCCTGGCATCCTCGGCCAGGCTGTGTGCAAAGCCTGTGCAGACCTGTGGGAAGGGTGGGAACCACACACGTGACCCCTGATATGTAACATGTCACATGTAACATGTCACATGTGCCCCGCCCACATGCATGAAGCCTCTGTTCCCATGGCCACTGCCAGGGACTATTACTCCCTGCATGCACTGCAGGGCCAGGCCTGTTGCTCTGTGTGTGATGGCACAGGGCAGCACCTTCTCCCTCCGCATCTGCAGCAATGGCATCATTGCATTCTTTTTCACAGATTTGAGGAATAAAATGAATGAATAAAGAGATAATTTCTCATAATTCACCCCTAGAGAGATAACAAAAGGATATCAACATTGATATCAAGAAATAAATAAATAATGAAATCACAAGAGACAGTTTAACACCAACACGGTGGATACAGACTCCACTCTTCCTGGAGTACAAAAAGACAGATTTGAATAATGAAATAATCAGATAGTTAGATCGTCTGTCACACTTGAGTCACACAAGGTGGCACCAAACTTCAGGGTTCCCAGATTAAATAATGAAACAATTTAATAATTACATCTTTAAATATGTAAGTTGGTGACCTTTTTGTATCATCAATTCCTGGGCAGACTTGCCAGATACGGAAAAGTATGCTGTTATCACGGATTTAAAAAATTCCATAGGTTAATCGTCAGATCATCATACTGTCTTGCCTGAAGAATTCTGCTGGCCTGGCATCAGGACCAGCACTTGAATCTCTGTTGTGGTGTGGCAGGACGTGAGATAATGGGCCCAATCCTGGCATAGCAGTAGTAGCCAAAATGTTGATATCAGGTGAAAAGATGGCAGCATCAGGGGCATCCCCAGCATAGCTGAGAGAGAGATGTTCTTCCATGTTCTGGGTCATCATCCTTTTCCCAGGTCTTGGTGATGGTGCCGACCTCCTTGTGCCACTACTTCTTCTCATCATAGGTCAAAACTGATGTGAAGCTGTGGAGGAAGAGCAGGTAGTCAACACCCAGACCACCATGCCGGCCTTAGTGAAGTCCTTGTACTTCTCAGAGGGCACCATGCAACCTTCTGGACTCTTGTCACCCAGCATCCCTAGTACTCTGTGAGATACATAGATCATTCAGAAAATGCTCTACCCATGTCTACAACTTTCCTAACCTTGTCCCTGACAGATATTTGTACCCTAATCATAATCGGTGATGGCATTCTCTGTCGTTTAAATAATTTAAAGAATTAAATAAATAAGTCAGTAATAGCTAACTGTCACAATAAAGAGGTTATGTAGCATTTTACTGGCAGGGAAGCATGGCCAGACTCCAGTCATGAAGGAGGTCATCATCACCAATTGAAACAATGAATCATCGCAGAGTTGAGTCGTAAAATTCAACATCATGCACACCTGAGAAATTACTGTAGATCAGAAATTACATTTGTTCCCAGAAACTCAACTTTCTGTATCACGCCATTGTTGTGGGTGGTAGGTAAATGGTAATAGCACTCTGATCACGTATTGCTGAATGAAGATCCCCATCACCTCTTTTTAACAGTTTCTAAACTTTGTGTAAATCATGTAAGAAAACCTGAATTTTGAATGAGATGTTCATAAATTCCAGAAGCTAAACTTACAGTTTATCAGTGAATGTCCCCACAAAACACAAAACACCCTGTGATGCACAATGGTGTCACCTGGTCTCAACTTTTCCATCTGGCAGAAAAAATATTCTGTATACGAAAACTAGAACTTTATGGCACACCAGGCTTTAATGTTCACTGTGACCTATTTATGACCCCTTGAGCAGCTTGTAAAAGCCGTTTTCTATTGGATGAGGATGGTGCTGGTTACTCTTTATAAATCAGGGGTGTCTCCTTTATCATGTTTTGGAGATAACTGTCTGCACAAGACTGGAGATCAAATGTCTATTTTAGTATCCTAATCTGTAACAGACCTGGTTACTGTACTATTCATCTTTGGGTTATTTTTTAGGCATCACTCCCTCAGCTAAATTCTATTTTGTGTTACTCAATATCCTGTAAGAATTGGTAAATATTTTGTAACAACAATTCTAATTTTTCTCATCATAGCTTATTGGTGGAGGATTACCCAACACAAGAATGTCATTTATGTATGACATTAGTGACCCATGCCTTTAATCCCAGCACTACGAAGGCATAGGAAGGCACATCTCTATGAGCTTGGGGCTAACCTGCTCTACAGAGCAAGTCCCAGGTCAATTTCCTAACCTTTACAAAGAAACACTTTATTTTATATTCAATAATATATTATTGAAACAAAAAATCAATAAACCCAGGCACAAAAACATATAAATTAAATAAATATAAAAAAATAAATTAAATTATTGGCATTTGCAGGATATACCAAATTGACTCCAAATGGGGAATCTCCCTTAGCCTACAGCCATGGGAGAAGGCCCTACCACAAAGGGCAGATTGTGATGATGCTTCTTGGTAGGCTGATCTTCCTAGGGAGTGGATAGGGGATGTGATGGGGGGAATGAGAGGATGGGAGGGAGAGGGAGCTGGGATCTATAAGTAAAATAACATCTTTTTATTAAGATTTTTAAAGTACAATATAAATAAATATAAATATATAAAGAAATAAAAAGAATGCCATCTACAGTATGTATAAAATTAACTCCTAATTCATCTTTTTTATTTATTATTTTTTATTTAATTTTATATAACAAAGTCCAATTAAATGAAAACAAACATTTATACACAATATTTGGGAATTTGGGCGTCGTTCTTTCCAAACTACTTCCTGCTGGTAAGGGGCGCTGTCTTGGGGGATTCGAAGAAGATTCAGATATCCTAGCTGTAGTCTGTAGGGCTGTTTTGTCCAGCTGTTTGGAATGTAGGATCAGCTTGTACTCTGTTTCAGGCGGTCTGGTGTGATCAACCACATTAGTCTGGAAGGAATCCACATCTTTTCATTTTCTGTGGAAACAAAAATAGAAATACTTTTCCCCAGTAACTTGTTCTTCAACTTAAATTTTGGAGTCAAAGCGTTTTTTTTTTCTTTAATTTATTATTTTACATGTTGATCCCAGTTCCCTCTCCCTCCCTCCCTCCCTCCCCTCCAGCCCTCCCTCCATCCTTCCCTCCCTTTTGCCCTCTCTGCCCTCTCCCATGCACTCTAAACACCCTCCCCTCCCAAACCCCCACCACAATACCATATGTAGGGGAATGCCATCCAGTTGGGGTAATGTAGATCTGACAGGTCCTGTGAAGTAGGGACTAGGGCTTCTCTCCTATCTCTAGAATAAGGGGGGTATGAGAGGAAGGGAGGGAGAGGGAGCTGGGATCTATAAGTAAAATAAGAACTTTTTATTAAGTATTTTAAAGTACAATATAAATAAATATAAATATATAAAGAAATAAAAAGAATGCCATCTGCAGTATGTATAAAATTAACTCCTAATTCATCTTATACTGAAATGTTAGATGTGAAGTTAAGAACATCTTGAATGCACTGGGCAAACTGTGCCCCTCCATGTACTGATACTTCCCTTCCATATTCAGGAAAAGCATGTTGGTGTTGACTACCAAAACGTTTACACACAAAGCTCCCTTATTGAAATGCATTCCTCTTATTAAGCCCCAAAATTAAAGTAATCACATTCTGCACCCTGATCTGCATAACTTCTAGGACTACATGGGATCTCATGGAAATTTGAATAAGTCATTAGGTTTCCAACCAGTCTCAGGGAGTCCCTGCCTCACAGTCTCTGCTTCTAAATATCATCCTCTTCATTTTAGGATAGCATTCCATTGCTTACAATTCTATGTCTTCCTTGCTCTTCCATGCTCCTCACAGTTCCTACAGCAGCACTCACAGCAGAGCAACCAATCCAATGGTGCCTGCTGTGCTATAAAATCAAACCTGCAGCATGGCTCCAAAAATTTCCTGTAAAACCTGAGCCTGTGGGCTCAGATTCCCTGATTGGCTAGTGAGTCTTGGTTGACAAGAGTAATTCCTCAATGGTTAGAGTGTTCTTAAAGCCAAAGCAGAAACATGCATTTCTTTCTTTTTTATTTTCTTATTTATTTATTTATTTATTTATTTATTTATTTATTTATTTATTTATTTTGGTTTTTCAAGACAGGGTTTGGCTGTGTAGTAATTCCTGTCTTGGAACACACTTTATAAACCAGGCTGGATAATTCAAAATCTTAATTATTATTATTATGAGGAGGAGGACTGAGGAGGATGATTATGATTACAACTATAACTACTACTACTCTTGTCATTTTGTAGTAGATTTTTCTCATTAATTAATTTTTTTTCTTTATTGATTTTCCAACACAGATTTTCAATACTGGCTGTCCTGGAACTCTATCTGTAGATCAGGCTGCCCAGAATATTAAAAAATTAAAGAGACTTTAGGAAATAAAAGGTGTTTGTTCTATGGCTTCTTGCTCAGATCAGAAGAACTGCAGATCAATTGGAAATTACATTGTATATATAGACCCCAGAGTTTAGAACAGGTAGAAAGAATGAATAGAACCATTAAGGTGGCTTTATCGAATTTAACGTTTGAAACTGGCTCTACAAACTGAGTACAACTCCTGACACTAGCTTTCTATCGAGCCAGGAATGCCCCAGGCCCCCATGGCTTAACTACCTTTGAAATCTTATATGGTAAACCACCACCAGCTATTGAGTTTTTGGATGCCAACATTTCTGATTTTGCAAATACTCCCTCCATGCAGGCACATCTCCGGGCCGTACAGATAGTCCAACAAGAGGTCTGGAAGCCTCTGGTAGCTGCCTACTTAGAGGGGTGAAAGGCACCCCCAACCTCATTCCTTCCAGATTGGCGACTTCATCTGGGTCCAGAGACATCAAACAAAGAATCTAGAGCCCTGCTGGAGGGGCCCCTACACTATGCTCCTGACAACTCCCACCACCTTGAAAGTAGACGGGATTCCTGACTGGATCCATGTGTCCCACGTGAAGGCCGCACAACCAGAACATCGGACACAGAACCAGGCCCTCCTGAACCAGCATGGAGAATTCAACCACAAGGTTGGTTTAAGTGGTTCAGTACCCTGATATCCACCATCATGGGACTGCTTATTATATTTCTTTTAATTCTCATCCTTGGTCCCTGCATTTTGAATAGACTAGTGCAGTCCATGAAGAAACGCTTGTCAGTTGTTCAGGCCCTAATTTTTACCCAGCAGTACCAGCAATTAAAATAAATGGAAACCATGAATAAAGGGTTTTATTCAG